GGCTGTGGTGGTGGTGAACGGAAAACAATAGAAAGGAGGAAGAGAAGGAGGAGGAGGAGGGAAAACAATAGAAATGTGGCGGTGGTGGTGGAGAGAAAACAATAGAAATGTGGCTTTGGTGGTGGTGGTGGAGGGAAACGGGGTAAAAAAAATTTTGCATTTTATTCATGAGATCAAGACAATAGCCTATGACGTCACCTAGTTAATGTATTCCTGTGCAAAAAAGAGGGCTAACCGGTGCGTCGTATACTACTGACGTCATCACCAGCAGTGAAAAAAGCTGATACTCTTGCCTTATAACTGTTACGAATTTCGAATTTTTAATGTAATTTCCAGACCCCTTGTCAATTTTGTATAAATGGTGTCGTCATAATCTGTTTAGGTCACTCTAGATCACTTTAAAAAATGCATGTTGACTAGCATACGAAACGTCAAGTTTATTGACAATGTATACCAGTACAAAATTAAAGTTCACAGTTTTCATCACCGGGTGTTTGTGTTTTATTAAAGAACAAGAGGCATCTTTACTTTCCAGTAACCTGGAAAACGGCTCGTTTGTAGAGTAATATTGACAATCTTGAAGAGACGAATGCACTCGCTGAGTTGATTTTGATGGAATTGGGATCAAGTAGATAAGGCTTTTGCGATAAGCTCTTAATCAAACTGCATACAACACGTCTTACCCCATTGTTTTGACAGTTCCGTACGCGACCACACTCACAATCTAGATCTTAGTAATCTGAGTGGAAAATTTGCTAATTCTTCAAGCGCACAAAGTGCTGTTTGGAACAGTTGCAAATATGAATTTCCTGATCAATATATTAATTTTATGGTCGTATAAAGAGTTTTCTAATCATCCCGATGAAAACTAAGTAATATTTTGACAAAATGCGTTCATAATTACAACTTTTGTCCCGAACTTGAAAACAGCAAGGCTTGAAAGAAAAACCTTACGTCTACCCCCTTTTTGTTTATTTTTTTTTCCTTCATGCTTCGCCAGTTCCTTATTAACCATAGGGACACGGGAACGCCCAAGCTCCTCGATGAACTCCCCAAAATAGCAAACAGGTACTTATCAAGGTTGTCGATAATAGGGAGGAGAATACGTCCGAGAGTGTGCCCTTCTAACATTTTGGCCACTTGACAAGTGAGGCAAATGGGCGTCCTCTTCGACTTCATTGAGAGATTTTTGTGTGGAGAGTGAATGTACGTTAACACTCTTAAGACGGATGGAAAAACTTGTATGTTGCAGTTACAACTTATAGGCAAACGCCGAATGCAAACTGTAACATTCGAAATCAAGGCATTATTCTTTCGTTTTTCTTCTATTTAGGTTAAAACCTTNGTAGAGTAATATTGACAATCTTGAAGAGACGAATGCACTCGCTGAGTTGATTTTGATGGAATTGGGATCAAGTAGATAAGGCTTTTGCGATAAGCTCTTAATCAAACTGCATACAACACGTCTTACCCCATTGTTTTGACAGTTCCGTACGCGACCACACTCACAATCTAGATCTTAGTAATCTGAGTGGAAAATTTGCTAATTCTTCAAGCGCACAAAGTGCTGTTTGGAACAGTTGCAAATATGAATTTCCTGATCAATATATTAATTTTATGGTCGTATAAAGAGTTTTCTAATCATCCCGATGAAAACTAAGTAATATTTTGACAAAATGCGTTCATAATTACAACTTTTGTCCCGAACTTGAAAACAGCAAGGCTTGAAAGAAAAACCTTACGTCTACCCCCTTTTTGTTTATTTTTTTTTCCTTCATGCTTCGCCAGTTCCTTATTAACCATAGGGACACGGGAACGCCCAAGCTCCTCGATGAACTCCCCAAAATAGCAAACAGGTACTTATCAAGGTTGTCGATAATAGGGAGGAGAATACGTCCGAGAGTGTGCCCTTCTAACATTTTGGCCACTTGACAAGTGAGGCAAATGGGCGTCCTCTTCGACTTCATTGAGAGATTTTTGTGTGGAGAGTGAATGTACGTTAACACTCTTAAGACGGATGGAAAAACTTGTATGTTGCAGTTACAACTTATAGGCAAACGCCGAATGCAAACTGTAACATTCGAAATCAAGGCATTATTCTTTCGTTTTTCTTCTATTTAGGTTAAAACCTTCAATTAGATCAAAAGCATCGGTTTGAATTGATATGCTAATTATTCAACAATAAATGTCTTTTTAAAGGCTATTTGATCATCCGATTTCCCGCAAAGAAGAGACAGGCTGCTTATAAAAGCATTGTTAGCCAGGCGAGTTTTCGTAGAAGAACTTTTAGGGCTATAGTTCGCGGACTATAAGAAAAGCAAAAGGTGGTTGTTTTCAAAGGAATAAAACAACAAAACTCGCTTGCCACCTTTTTGGACAACAGAAAGGTTTCGTTTCGTTTTAATGGAGACTTTAAAAGTTCAATGATTTACTGCGATTTTTTGGGACTCTGCGGTAACTGGCCCTGTAAGAAAGAGTGGCTGCCTCAATTACTAGCATTCTTTTCAGCCTTTATCATTTTTATCATTTTCGACACAACATATTCGAGTTAAATCATTCTTGTCTACAGTATGTTAAGGATGACTTATTTTTGCAGGTTTTTGTCGAATAACAGAATTGAAAAGCTTCCATCTGGCTTATTGTCAAATCTCCCTAGGATGGAAAGTTTGTAAGTATATTTTTTAGTTGTTTACGGGTCATGAACAAAACACTAGGCGAGTACTACGAAAAATATAGACACAGTAGCATGTATACGGTAACTATAGCGAGCTTAAGCAACGAGAACGTTGACGTCCCGGATATAATGAATAGCAATCAGAAGTTGCATTTTTTGCTTGATAGGAAGCTTCTTTAATAATAAAACTATATTGAAAGCTCTTGATGTTTTGTGTGGCGTGATGTTATTGAGTCAGTCCATTTAAAGCATGGGGAGACCAACTTCCGATTATTATTTTTGGCGTGTGAGACGTTACAGTTTTCGTTGGTCATGAGAAATATACATACTAACGCACTCATAATAGTACTATGAATTAACCAGGCAGGGGAGTTGTCGTCAAGCCATGTTTTTTTGAACTTCTTTCAACAAAATTGAAGCTTGTGGATAAAATTATGCAAAGTGCTTATTTGTGTTATTTTACAAATCGGGCACAAAAAATCAATTCTCGCGGTTTTTACTTGATAACTTGCTAATTGTTGGTTAAATCCAAGATGGCGACCAAGATAGTGACCATGTTTGGTGACGTTACGGGCCTCCAGCAGAGCCACCACCCACAAAATTATACCTCATCTAGTAGAAAAGATCAAAGGCTTCCTACTAAAGGCCAAATCGTTTTGAAATACTGCAACATATCAAAATCTCTAGGGAGGGGTTCCATCATCCCCTCGTACCACGGTGGGGGTATGGCTTTGCGTGTACATGTACGTCCGAGGGTTTAACTTACAGTAAACTACAAAAGGGCTATCACATGCATTAAGAGCCAATGTCGGAAAATATCAAATCAGTTCCAAAAATTTTAATTTTGGCTGATACCACCCAAACATCCCTTTAGGGGAACTCTTTCAAGAAATGATATTAAGAAATTCCCAAGCGCTTAACATTTTGAGAATTTTAGAAAAGTTCCAAAATTCGCAAAAATGCATTTTTTAATTCAGAAAATGGGAGCAAATTTCAACAGATTTCAACGAAACAGTACAAGCGCGCCAAAGCTCCTATCCCACAGCTTTAAGACCGCATAGAAAGGTTTTGTAAAATTACTACTTTAATATAGTTTCTGGCTTTTATTGTGTGCGCTCTGATTGTGTGTTGCTTTGGCCCTCAAAATAACGCCCAACTTCAACCGTCAAAAGTCGATCCTGGTATGTCACAAATTGAAAAAAATACTATACCAAACAAAAAACCTGTTATTCTTTTAATTACACCTGAAGTTTTAGCTCTGCGAATTTAAACGCTTGCGAGAAATAAAATTTTAACTTGTGCCCCCCAAGTCGCCTGTCCGCGACAAGAACGGGAATGTAAACAAAGGAAAACATATGCAAATCGAGGAGAAAATCACATGGAAGTTATAGCTAGCACATCAAAGCGCAAAAAATTGATGAAAATTCTGTTATCTAATCAATTATTGGTACCTGGGAAGCTACAAAAGCGTAATTGTTCGTCGAATAATCTAAAACAAGGAAAAAAATAAAAAAGAGTGATGGGCCAAAAAAATAATGCAATTGCTCACAAATTTTGATCGGGTGAATTCCCGGTACTGAAGTATCAGGTCTATCAATCATTTCTGTCAACTTCAAAACCCCATTGCAAACTATGTCAGAAAAAAAAAGTTACTTAGATAAAAATGAACTATGAAACCCAAGTCAAAACTATTGTAAATCCGGACCTCTCAACAAAATGGAATTAAAGCGGCTATCAAGACCGCAAACAAACACTAAGCGGACCGTAATAATTGTTTCCCAAATAAAAGAGATTGTTCGTGCTCAAAGCTAAAAGGCATTAAGATGCAAGTATTTCAAAGCAAACATTTACAATAATGGTGAACACACCTTCCTGCAGGGTCCTCAACAGACATCCACCTCTAAGCTTTGAGATTACGAAACACGAATATTGGTTTTCGACGTTCGTCCAGGATTTGTAGAAACTACTGTAATACCCTCCACCCAGTCACAGTGTTAGCAAGTGTTCATATCTTTCTCGTGATGTAAGGCTCTTAAGGTTACCTGAATAAAATGACTTAAAACTAGCGACTAACTGAAAATTGTAATCTGTAGTGTACGTCCGTAAAAAGATTTCGGCGCCAAATGTTGGTTCTCCTAACTTGGTGTCAAGTTACGTGTATGATGATTTGAATAAATTACTCTGCAGCCGCTCACGCAATCTTTCCCGTGTACACGTAATCACCTAATTCTGTACAGTATGTCGAAATCTAAAAAAAACTGCATTGCATAATCGACACATGGTATAACCTACAGCGTTTATAACGAAAGTGTGTGGAAAGAAAAAAATGTTGTGTACTTTTTCGACTCTTGTTGATGGAAATCTTAAATGCGGTGTTAGCCAGGAATATCCTGGTCAATACGAATGTATACCTCTTGGTAAATGCGAACGAGACATCACGAGACATCTGGAAATGTATGGCCTCAGTGAAGATCCATCGTTGGAAAGTGAAAGGAAACTGCTACTAGCTCGTGCAGGTCAGTAAATGACACGTGGTTGAATTTTTACTTTGTTTTGATGTTCTGTCAGCACCTAATATAATTCTAATTCCGAAGGTTTTTTCTAATCAGGAATTTTTTCGCCGGATGTGTCTCATGACCTTATAACTATATGTCCCCGTCATCGGGCGGAATATGGTATAAGATGGAGAACAGGGAAAACTATGTGTTCGGTTCCAAGCCCAATGATCGCACATAAGTCAGCAAAAGTGAAAGGAACACGCAGAATAAGCAGTCAACTATCTTCACTTATTTTGAAGGAAACAGGCCAGCTAATTGTTGTTGGATCGCGTAAGTGATTTTTACGTTTTGTCTTGTAATTTTACTGAAATTCTTATGAGCGATTGAACGCTTTGACTCTGTTAGTAACAAACAGCGGTTGGGTAAGGAAGTGATGGAATCCAGGGGTGGTTTATTCTCCAGCTGGAAGTTCGGATTTGTTTTTGATCCTCGGCCGCATGACCTTCAACTTCCTGCGCTTGAGCTTTTCCACATTGCATTTGAGTTCTTTATGGAAAACTGATACCAAGTTCAGGAGCCCATAAGAAGAATCCCATCTCCATTAAGCCACCCCTCAGGGGGGTAAGTCCCCCATCTCTATTAAGCCACCCCTAGGGGCCTTAATCGAGGATTTTCTAACATACTATTATTTCACATTAGCTATTTGCTCGACTTGCTTTGGACATCTGACGAGGGAAGAGGAAAAACATCTAATGGGCGCTGGAGCAATAGAGAAGGGATCAGAAGGACCTAAGGAAGCTAAAGCTGAAGAGGAGAAGTTAGAAGGACCTATTGAAAGTGGGGATGAAGTAAAGAATTTAGAAGGACTCTTGGAAACTGGTGATACAAGGCTGGTATGTTGATAAGCCCATAAAATAGGTTATTTACTCAAAATATTTCTCCGTTATTGATTGGCTCAAACCCCTGCCGCCCGCCCCCACCCCCGCAACCTCCCCGCTTATTCTTTGTAAACAGCAAACATTGACGACGATTGTGATATCTGGAAAAAGATGTCAATATCACAGGAAAGACGCCAGAAAAAGAAAGGTCAATTGAGAATTACTGGGGTCGAGTCGAGGTTGCCACTAAGCGTAAGCCAGTTCCTGTAATAGATGAATCACCAAAAGAAATGATTTTAGGCAGACCGAGAAAGGTGAATTCGGCCGAGGCTGAAAGGCTGAACTTCAGCCCAATCAAATTTAAAGAAACTGGAAGCTGTAAATAAAGTGCTATCAAACGAGCAAACTGTTCACCTGCGTCTTCGATGAGTTTTTTTTTTTCTCAAACTGTATTATCCTCTTATCCTTACAAAATCGAAAAATGCGGCAAACCGGTTTAAACTGTAATGGGAATTAAAAGGATTCTCTAATTTGTTATTTATTTTAAATGTGTAGGAAACTGAGGAGTCGACATCTGCAGACAGTGATGTCTCTAGTGCTGTCCTTGGTGCATTAAGCAAGTTAGAAATTGCTGATGAGACCTTTTTAAGCCCTGAAACCAGGAGCACAGCGTCTACTCAAAGCGATGAAATTGTTCCCTCTCAAGCAACAGCCGCAGAAATGCAGCGTAGCCTTCTGAATGAGTTCTTGGTGGCTTGGAATATACCGCCGCTTCAAAGAAAATGGTTGGACTTTAGCAGTTGCAGTGAATCCACTAAACAAAGGTATACAAGAAGATCAAGCGACATCGTAGCTGCAGTGCTAAAAACCATTTCTCCCGAAGATGCTGGCCTTATTTGGAGAGCCATGACATCAACAGCTTCCATGAACAAGTTGCTTGGTATTGAAGATATCCCACAAGCAGATCAGCGTTACCTAGAAGCCCTAACAGAAGCGTATAATAACGCCGATAGCTGGGATACCCGCCGACAAATCCTTTCTGTAATGACTGGTGTTGCTGGTTTTAAAATTTTAGCCACCTTCATTCCAGGGCTAACAAGGTACCGGTACTCTATGGCAAATCTGCACCGCCTTCAGTTTGGTTGTGGCGCACCTGTACCTCCTCGGGTGTCAACAAGAATAAAAGTAGATCTAAAACAGTTAGATCATTTTCTGTGCTTTATCACAAGCCCACATTTAGTACAAGATCTTCCGTTCGGACAGAAACAGTTGACTCTTTAGACGCGTGAAGTCCTTAAAGTCCCCAACGTGATAAGAACCATGATACCTCAACGAATCGTGCGTCAATATACTCAGTACTGTGAAGAGACTGGCTTTAAGCGTTTTAGTCAAAGCACGATGTTGCGCATTTTGTCTCAATGCAGTGCGTCAGTAAGAAAGTCTCTTCAGGGACTTGATTACTATGCCGCGGATGGTACACGAGCATTTGATGACCTGATATCACTGGTGCGTAAAATAAATGAAGTGGAAAGTGACATTGATTGGGAAAGACGAATGATCGAGTCGCTCAAAGCTGCTAAGCTTTATCTAAAAGGAGACTACAAGGTATGTTTTAAGCAAACAGAAAAATTTGATGGTTAATTCATTAATAAATTTGGAGTATTGATAAGTATAGGTACATTTCACCTCAGTTCCCGCCTAATCGTTAGTTACCTATAAGATACTAGGAGACATCACTGTTTACAAACATTGTAATTTGTAACGAGTGAAACAAAATAGTCTAGTATCGCTATATCCTCATCCCATGTGGGACAACGTTTGTGTGAAAAGCCTATAACTTGGGTAGCAAGCACATACAGGCCCAAAAAATATGAACCGCTGTTGAGGAGTGTAGGTGATCGCCCGAAATAAGTTGATTGAATGAGGCTTATTGCTTTTGCAATGAATTGATTTGTTTGCAGGTGCATTTGGAGAAGAAAGCTAGCATACCAGATCACTGTGTAGCGTTTTCATTGAGCGATGCTAGCGATCCCGACTACCAGGTGCAGTGCCAACACAATCACGAAGATATCTGTGAGCAGTGTGAAGCGCTAAACGAAACTTTAAGGGAAATTGACAGTCGCATTAACTGTTGCCATTAACTGTTGCCATGACGAGCGGGAAGAGGCGATCTACATTATGCAGTCATCGAAGCTTGCCATCCGTTCATGGCAGTGCCACATATTACGATCATTTAATCAAGACCAAGCCCGACTGGACTTTCTTGACCTTCTTGACAATGAGACAGTACTCATTGTCAACGACTGGGCAATGAAGTTTCTACCACAGAGGTACCGAGAATCGCAGTCTGACTGGTTCGGAAAGCGTGGCATATCTTGGCACATTTCCGTGGTCTATAGAAGATCTGACAGTCAGTTACAGTGGCAAGGATATGTTCACATCATCCAGTCATGCAGTCAGGACAGTACCTCTGT